GTCCATTCTTCCTCACTTTCACTTTAATGTACACTCTACTAAGTGTCCTGCATGACTCACACTCCTGGCCAGCAGAATCTGGCACTGTGGAGTGAGTGTGTGTGTGTGTGTGTGTGTGTGTGTGTGTGTGTGTAAGCATGGCAGTGATTCTGTGTGTGCTTGTAGGCCTGTGTGTGTCATGTGTCTGTGTACTTTGCTCGAATTTGTTTTGAAATGCAACTCTATCCAAACCTGAACTCCCCTAATGGGCAAAGGATTATATCGTTCAGAACAGCATGTGTGCATCTGTGAGTGTGTGTGTGAGAGACCAGGCAATACAACACACTCGCACTCTATTTAATGCTAGCGGCAGAAGGCAGGAAAGCCAGAGTGGAAGAATGTACCTGTCAGGAGAGGAGAGACAGGAGACGAGACGATAACAGAAGACTCCAAGGAGAAGAGGGGGAGTGCAGAAGCGATAGAAAGATTAGGGATACATGAAGGAAGTCTAATCGAAATGAGGGAAGGTGGGAGGGAGCGATGGAGGAGGAGATGAGACGAGATGAAAGTGGAGAGGGAGAGCAGGGAGAGCAGGGAGAGACAGCAGACAGGATGATGAAGAGAGTGAACAGTAAGAGTAAGAAAGAGCGAGAAAGAAATAAAGAAAGGGATGGACAAATAAAGTGAGGGGAGGAGGGATGGAGGCAAACAGACAAGAGCAATAGACATCTGCAGCCCCACAGGCAATACAAGGAGGTGCTCCAAGTGTGTGTGTGTGTGTGGAGGTGAGTGAATACGTGCCTGTAATTGCAAAAGGAAACTGACAGAGTAAGTTGGGTAAAGGAGAAAGACAGAACACATGCATGCAAATGCACATTACTCGTCCTTCTTGTAATGACAACCTCATGTTGCGACAGATGTAGCTGAGCGGGAAAGAAAAGGGTAGGAAAACTGAAAGGAGGAGCGTGAGTTAAATTCTCAGAAGGAAAGGAAAAGAGGCACTGGCAAGTCAGTGACAGTTTCAGCACTTTTGATAACGAGACTGCCTCCTAAAGATTAGACTCTGTTATTATGATGGAACAAATGGAGCTGATACCAATTGATCGGCAGGAAATACAAATGGCAACCATTTTAATCGATTAAGTGTTTGAGAAATTTCTTTTAAGCAAAACACAACTGTTTCCAGTTCAAATTTGAATATTTTCTGATTTCCTTAGACTTCTCTGAAGGTGAACTGAATATACTTGGATTTTGGACTGTTGTTCAGGCAAAACAAGACATTTAAAGGAATAGTGCAGCATTTCGGGAAGTATGCTTACATGTTTGTATAAATTTTGAGAGATGAGAAGATCGATACCATTCTTATATCTCTGTGTGCAACATGAAGCTGCAGCCAGTTAGCTTAGCTTAGCATTAGGACTGTAAGCAATGAAACAGCTAGCTTGGCTCTGTCCAAAGGTAACAGAATCTACCTACTAGCACATCTAAAGCTCAATAATTAACACGATATATCTTGCGGGTGTAAATATAAAATAACCAGTTGTGGCAGCTATACCAAGTTGTTACGGGGGCCTGACTATTTCTGGCTGTGGGCTGTGACTATATAGAGTCTTGCCTGGCAACCTCAAGGCAAAGATAAGACTTCAGAGTGGTATTGATATGCTCCTCTAACTCTCAGCAAGAAATAGTTCTCAAAATGTTGAACTATTCCTTTAAATATACAATCACAGGCGCCTTATGGTGGATATTTTTTACCATTTGCTGGCATTTTATAGACAAACATTGAGGAAAATACTATTTAGAATAACTGATAATGACATTAATCATTACTTGCAGCACTAGAAATAAATATGTTTTTTTTCACAGCTAAACTGATCCAGTTGTAAAACTCTCATGCTGTCCATTTGCAAGATGGTGAAAATGTTTGTCAACTTAATAATGAAATACACACACACACACACACACACACACACCAGATTACTGAATGCTTGAAATTGTGAGAGATTACATTATTAAAACAGCGCCTTTAGGCATCTGTTCATGTATGTTTTGTCTGATCTTTCTGTTGCTTCAGCAAATATGCCCTCAAGCTGAAATAATAAGTAGCTTCAGACCTGGAAGAGATTACTTATTACGATTACCTTTTGGCAAAGTGGTTGTATCAGGATTTGGCAGGTGTGCATCAGTCGAGACATGTTAGTAAACATTTGTATGAAGTCGAAAAAGAAATCCTATCCCAGTCTGTTCTGCAGTAGCTCACCACTCCTCTGCATCAGTTGTTGTTTTGTCTGTTTTCAAGGTTTTTTGTTTTGTTTTTATTCAGCATTCCCTCTCTCAGTCAACACCACGGCATTTCACCACACTCATCCATTTTAAATAGGGATCCCTGATAATAACACAATAAAATATTTAAGATCAAAATAAATTGGACAATATTTCATTATACAGAACACAGAATATCTAATACTGTATTAAGATGGCAAGTGGCAGAAGTGATCTAGAGTCACTTTAAAATGTAGCTTCAATTTAAGTTTTAAAATATTTCACAAAATGAAGAAGCTACATAGAACTGTCATCTTAGCCTCAAGAGTCCTCTGTGAAATGATGTCAGGCCCTTTAGACATTGAATACACAGTCCTTTACAAGTACAAACACTAGAAGACTTGACTGATACTTGTACCCTCCCCTATTCTGCAATTCCTCATCTGAAAAATCTCGTCCTTCGTTCTTGGAATGGGAGGATGAAGTGAGGGAGTTGTAATCTGTAACTACTACGGCTAGATGCCACTAAATCTTACTCACTGGTCCTTTAACTCCATCTGCCTGCTCTCAGATTACACCTCAGGGTAAAAACAGATAACCTTGAATAGCTGTTAAATACATGCTATTTACTGTCTCATCCTACATTCTGCTACCTGTCTTCACACAGTTCAAACATTCACGGTCACTAATCATATTCCCCAGCTACTGTACATGCAAACGTCATGGCTACATGACAGATGAGAGGCACAGAGGACTGTTTTCTGACCTCAAACTTTCTCAACAGATTAATCAAATCAGCATTAGAGAGAGACAAAAGATATTTTATACCCCTTCATCTTGCTCAACAGAGGTCCTTTATAATTATGAATTAACTTCATGGATTTTGGCAGATTCTGTGAACTTGCAGTGGGTGCTCAGCAAGCTATGTAATGATTATACTCAGCTCCACATCTGGAATTAATATTGAGCTATAAAACAGTTAGGCTTATGAGAATTTTATGAAATACATTTTGACAAGTTGCAGTGTCTCCTGAGTAGCTTTTGATGTCATGTGGAATTAAGTGGGAGCCAATGAGCCTGTAAGTCTGGTCTTTTCTTCATTTTAATCAAGCAGTTCTGTCAGTTCAGAGATATCCTGTACAAATATCTTGATTTCTTAATTCAGGACATGGCACCCTTAAAAAACAAGGAATGAGAATTAATAAGCTTAGAAAAGTAAGCAATCATGTTAATGCAAATCACTTTTATGCAAATGCTTTGATGATGATTAAACTTTTAAAAAAGTCATAATTAGAGTTGTCTTTTTCATGGTGGGGAGGGGCGGTGTACTGAATAAAACAGTACTGTAAATATCCTTAATGTTTTATAAAATTAGGTGTAAAGTAGCCCTCTGACAAGCACACTCTTTCACCCACAGCTCTGAGCTTCAAAGATAAGGCTTTTGCACTGCTTTGGATGCATGTGTGCATGTGTGGGAGAGCATGCTCAATGTATATACGTTGGCTGTTCTGCTTACTGTTAGTGCAGTGTGTGGTTTGTCTATTTTATATCTATATCTGACTAGCACACTCCCTCTACCTTATCGACAAACCAACAGCGTAAGAGGCGCTGCCATTGTCAAGCTAACAGGATACAACAGAGGGCATAGCAGGACTCGCAGGCACATTAAGCCTACATTGGCTTGCGCAGTGAAGCCCGCCGAGTCTTAATTGAATTGATAGAAAGTATGGGGAGAGGATAGGGGAGGTCAGGGGAGAGGAATTGATGAGGAAAGCAGAGAGGGGGAAAGGAAATAAGGGAAAGGGAACCGCAGAAGGAGAATTGAGAGAGGCACAAGGAGAATGAAAAAATATAGCGAGAGGAGGAAGAGGTAGAGTAATGGGGAATCCATGGGAGCATGTCTACAACAGGAGAGAGCAAAATAAGAAATATGGCTGGGGAATAAATATGTGTAGAACAGCAAAGGAATGAGAAAGAACAAGGTGAAAAAGAAAAGCAACAGGGCGGCTTGATAAAGAGAATGCAAACGAGAGAACAAAATAATCACACAGTGAGTGTGAACAAGGTAAAAGAGGGATGAATCTATTACTAAGCTGTGATGGTAAATAATGAAGGTAGAGAAACAAAGGAATTAATGAAAGATAATGGAAAAACAAAACGGCAGGATTGCAGGTGAATTTAGGCTGAGAATTAAATTGTTGACTGCAAAATTGGCAATAGAGCTCCCTCTCCATGACTACGATTAATGTGCCCTTCAGGAAATCAACCCAAAACTAGTTCACCGGAGTTTCTACACAAATTAACATAGAGTTGGGCAATACAAAGCACAAAACTCATTATCAGTGCTGAATAAAACTCTCCTGCTGAAATAAAAGTTAAAACGACCTAATAAGTGACAGGGTAAAAAATAAGCCTAATATAGAAGAGGTGCAGTTTGCCTGGTTAGAGTAAAACTGTCTAGTTAAGGAAAGGACACAACTACAAAGTAAGTAAGGCCGAGGAAGCTAGGGTAGCTGAAACTAAATCCAGACAGCACAGACCAGTGGATGTACCAAACTTAATCTGGGATTGTTTGGCTCAGTCAAGCGCAGAAAGAGGGGCAGCTTGGCAGAAATGGTGTGAGACATGCTAATGGAGGCATGTCAAATACAAGCCAGATAAATCTTTGCACCAATAAGACTGGTAAAACTGATGCAAATGTGCAGCATGGGTACACCCCTCAGAATGAACAGAGGCACTGTTTTGTCTTCATGTCTCACCTTAATGAGGTCTCCTAGTAGTTTGTTGGCTTCAGCATAGGCCTTCTTCACCTCCTTGAACTTATTTCCCAGTCCCATACTGTGAGCCTGCAATGAACAATGGTAAAACAAACAACAGCATGAATGAGTAGAGTCAAAATAATCTTTTTATTTCTCCTTTTGAGGAAAAAGTCAAACCATTCTGGGCAATTCAATGTCAACCTGTAATTTAAGGCTATAATTTGTGTAGTGAGACCCACAGCTTATAAATTTATGGCGAAGGTCAGATGGACCAGTGTGATATCCCACTGTAAACTGTAATTTGGTATATAGTGCATTTGTTTAACACTCGCTAATATAAACAGGTCACAGCTGGGTTCCGGGATGTGCACACACACATTTTTACCAGTGGGTACACAGCGTTGTGGATTCAGTCACTTTCAAATAGTCTGTGACACATTTCAGAGTGTGACTGTGGACAGTGTAGATACTGTAGACTCGTGGTTGTACTTAATGTACCATACCAGCATTAACAAACACCAAAATAAGTTGTTCAAGCAACATTTTTAGTCAGTTTCTAAAACAGTGACACTGATTACTCCACTTCCTCGGTTTCATTTCAGTCACATGTTTTGCATCTGCAGTAGCTTTGAACACACAAACATGTAAAAAAAAAAAAAAAAGTGTATTTTTAAAAATGAGATACTTTCAGAACGAGAACATAAGTTTATTTTTTCTGTTTTTAAAGCTAAGACTGCACAAGTCTGAACATTTTCCATAAATGAAACTGTCAATTACTGTAAAACAAGTGCACAAACACTATATAGGTGCACTGCGGTGAAGTTCCACGCAACAACAGCGAATATAAAAGCAACACCATTAATACTCCATCCTAAAGAGCTTTGTGAAATGCATTTGAATGTATTTAGCCTCCAAATCAAAACACTCACACAAAACAAAATAAAAAATGACCAGAATAGCTCACTGTACCTGGAAGTGAAGGTTGGTGTACTGTCCTCCAGGAATCTCGTTCTCATAGACATCAGCGTTGCCAGATTTCATGGTGGCGGTGCAGTCGAACGGAGCGTACAGGCCTCTGGCTACTTCCCAATATTCACTGTAGTCAAACACCTTCTCCAGAGCAATGCCTGCAACAGAGCGCAGCAAATGACATCAAATCAGTGGTTACCATGCATATTTTCTTTTAATGAGACTGATCTACAGTCATTTGAAACTGAGCTTGCCATTTGTCTTAAGACAACAATGTAGCAGAGGTGTTTTAAGAATATAAATTTAAAGCATGTAATATGGGGAGATATACAATCCTTATTAATGTGTGTATAGAGAGGACAAAATGCAGCTTGAAAGAATAATTCTGTAACTTTCTGATCATCTCTCTTTTGGAAAAAGTGAATGGAGACACGTGACAAGTGCACTCAAAGCCAAAGCAAAAATAAATAAATGGAAATAAAAAACCAATCGGCTCCACAGGCTTTGTTTCTTTTCTGTACAAATATGTAACATCTGGTTGAAAGGTCAACCAAACTGAAGCTGCAGGAGCATCTGACCATACTTATCCACAGATACCCTGAGGTGTATGACTTGTAAAGTACGAACACATCATTCAGTTTGTGTGTGTTGGATTTATGACACTGGAAATCAATGTGTCTTTGTTTTGACTTCTGATTTGTTAAGTTGGTTTAGTCAGTGAGGCTTAATGCCAAATTACCGGAACTCACTTGCGAAAGTAACCCTGGATAAAAAGATGAAAGTGGCATGGCTGGCGTTTTCCATGCATTTTTATACCCAACATCTGAGTAACCCCTTATGTGGCAACCAGTTATTTACCTGAATTAGTCAAAAGTGTCAGCTGGGACAGTATTGGATTTATGATTTTTTAATGTTTTTTTTATTTTGATATATGAAAAAACAAACATGATTTACACATATAGTACTTTGTACACCAGAACAAGTACTACCCATCAGATAGGTATGGATGTGACTACAACCACAGTACGGTACACTAGTTATGCTTTACTATACCTGGGTCCTCTTAAACACTACATCAAGCCAAGAAAAATTGCAAGTTAAAATGGGTTTTCAGGTTAGGAAAGCTTGTACAAGCCTGAACTACAATGTAGGTTGTGTTTTTAGCCTCAAGTACGCTTGAAAAGTCACTCTACATTTACATTTTGGCTTTGTCACGTCAGAGCCACTCATAAAATCCCCGTGATATTTTGTGACCCTTAAAAAAAAAACACCTGTTGCTCATGTTCATGACATTCTGCTACAGCCAGTAAAGGTGTGTTAAAGCTGATTACCTCGAAATATAAAATCTGCTTTAATGCCATGTCAGAAATGGCAGTACACCGAGCTTTTGGCTAATGATGACAAAAATCTGCTATTTTAATGAGACAAACTTAGCTTGTTACATCCACAAGAACTGAGTGACAAGCTTGAATGTTTGCGATTCAAAGCGAGTACGTACTCCAAAAAGTGTTTGTGTGCTTCTGCTGTGATCTTGGCGAGGAAATGGAGCTACTGTGAAATTAATGTGAAATTAATGTGCATGTGGTTGCTCCTCAAATTCAGCTGCCTGCCAAGCCAGCCAGTAATTAGGTCCATTTCCTTCTCTGTTTGAGAACACCATTTTTGTAGCTAAAATGTATGCTTCCATTGTAAAATTACAGCCTCAGTTTACAAGGGGAAGCGATGGCATGTTCATGGTGACGCAGGCCTCTGTTGATTCAGATGTCAGCTCAGGTCAATCACTTCACTTCATACACTGCTCTGTGCTCTCATGACTTTGAGGTAGTGGACAAAACATATATTTGTAAGTTTCTACCAAATAATTGGCAGTAACTGTGAGTTCTCCCAGCTGACAACACAAAGAGCTCCATACAAAACTGTGGATACATCGCCTCTGCTCTGTTGTACTGAAGCTACTGTGGGTGTTAAAAACAGCTATGTCTGATTATTTTGTGATAGATTTGGTGCAAAATAAAGATTCTTCAAAAGAGGACAAACTGTAGCTCTCTGACAGTATCTGATACCACAACCATTTAACTTTACTGTAGCGGTGCTGGAAATATTTCAATTTAGCCTGATATGGTAATGAGAAAAATGCCTCCAGAGAAGCTGTGTTTTAGGGGTGGATTTTACTTTAATTGCGAAATACATTATTTGCAGAAACACTCTTACAGTGTATGGTAAAATGGTTAAACAAATGTAACTCCACATTGGCATAATAAGGATGCACAATCATTAAAGCAACGTTGTGACATTTTAACATACTCATGCTAAGCTAAGCTAACCGGTTTGCTTGCTTCAGCTTCATATTGAACACATATGAGGCTTTTCTTAACCAATTATTGACAAGACTGTGAATAAGCAAATGCTGATCTATTGCTTTATTATTCCTATTTAAATGTATATTGGTAAATGCGCCATTTTCTAAAGAAAATTTTTATTTGCTTAGGTAGCTTAAGTGCCAAAGGCCAGTGGTTGTAGTGTCTTTATCAGTGGTACATTTACCCTGTACATACACATTTGAAATATTTGTACTTTTTAATCTAACAGTTGTAGTGACTAGTTACTTTTCAGAATAAGATTTAAATGTATTTGTTATTGTGTGAATATTCATTTGTAAAATGTGTGCCTTTTTGGTCATCTGTGAATGAAATAATGAAAATCGTAGTTGGAAGATTTTACATTTAAAAGATAATAAGCTGACAAAAATACAAGACATAGTTCAAGATTAAACCAGTGGGTGGCAGTCTTACAAAACCGCAGTGTCTTATTGGGGCTCCTTAACATATTTCACACATATAGTTGATAGCAGTTTCACCATAAAGAAATGTCCCCTTCTGCAGTGGTTTTATTTAAATACTTGTTCAACTTCCAAACAGATAAAAATATCCTGTATTTTTGGAGAAGGCTTACCCCTAGGTTGGGAACCACTGGACTAAACTACTGAACCTGCTGAACTGTAAATAAAGTGGATAAAGTAGCTCCACCTTGACCAGCTACAACAGTAAACACAATGATGCAGCAGTATTAGACTAACAATTTTGTGTGATATATCAGCCACAGGTGACATTTTCCTGCAGAACAAGTCCTTTACTTTTGATAGTTTAAGTAGGCCTACATTTAGCTGATGTCTACAGTTTATTATATATAGTATATTTAGATTGTTGTATTACTATATTTTACTAAGGTAAAGGGTCTGAGCACCTCTTCCACAACTAATCTTTATCAACCTGCATGTATTTTAGAGTGGGGCCTGAAACCGACAAACAGACATTTTGATTGGGAGGCAGCTGAGCTACAGCATCTGCCAGAAAAAGACTTCTTTCCTGCAGTTTCCTGAGGAGAAGTTTAATTAGCCAAACACCATACAAGTGTGAGCTGGAAAGTCAGATGAAAGCAGAAAGAAAAGTTCAATCAGCTAACTCAGTTATCAGAAAAGTGCTTTGCCGAGGAGAGATGGCAGGAGCATCTCGCTTAGCCAACAGGAAAGTTAGCCGTAATGAATGAGCAAACCAATGCTGTGTTTTATCTGCAGAATTTTCTGCTATTGAGAGAATTTAAAGGTTAATTTTCCACTGTATCCTACAAATGTGAAGAACAGCTACAAATGTTTTGGATTCTGATGTTTGGTAAATCACGGTGGAGGTAAATACAGCATTGTTGTTTTTTCTGGCCTGCTGATTACAATCCCAAAACCATCAATCACTGCACCACTATAACATGTGTATGAATACCACAGACATGCAGGCACACGCACGCACATACATCAGTCATTTAGATGGCTGCTTGGCAGTGACAAAGTGCCATCAAGATACAACTCATTAGCAGCACAAACTCACTAATGCAGGAGACAAACAGACAGACACACACATATTTCTGCTTGTACACACATTCTCTACACCAACACAGTCACACAAAGTTGTAGAAAGACAGCCGCACACACACAGTTTGTGGGTGATGAGACGATGAGAGCTAACCAAGACAGTTAGATTAAGACAGATGAGACACAAGGAGATTCAGGGAGCAAAGAAGGGAAAATTGAGCACAGACAGATGAAGAAAGGGAGACACGAGGGAGGTGAACAAGAAGCTAAATGTGTCAGCTCACCGTCTCAGTGAGTGTGCCTCTGGTTTCATATATATATATATATATATATATATATATATATATGTGTGTGTGTGTGTATATATGTGTGATTAAATATATAATACATAGTATACTAATATAATAATACGTATATACTATACACATATATTATACATATATCAAAACCATATATACCTAATTATATACTATATACATATATAATGTATTATACTACATAGTATATATACTATAATATTACTATATTATCATATAGTATACCTAACTATATAATATACACATATATATATAACTATACACATATATATATACTACTACAATACAACTATAATAATATACACATATATATATAACACAGCAACTAATATATATATATAATAATATATATATAATCAGTATACTAATCATAGTATACACCATATATATATACTATATTACACATATATCATAGATACTATTAGTACGTTATATATTCATATACTATATACTTACGTTATATATACCATCAAAATTCATATATTATCCTATATATAGTATCACCATGATATCAATATCAAATAGTACACATATATATATAGTATTACTATATATCATAATCATAAACCACATATATATATATTATATTACAGTCATCATATATATTATCCTAGATATTTACTTATATACTACATATATTACCATATATAAACTCCCGTAATCTACACCATATATACTATCAACACATATATTATACACAATATATATCATAGCGCGAGCGAGTATAATCCATATATCTATATAGGTGATAAGTTATAATACAAGAGTACTCAAAAACAATAAAAACCAAAAAATAAATAAAAATAAAAAACTACAAAATACATAAACAAAATATAAAATATTATATATATATAACATATACTATAATACCACATACATATATATATATAGCGGTATCATTATAACACTACTATACCACCATACATATATATATATATATATACTACTAGTGTATCATATCACACATACCAAATAAGAC